TTGCCGATTCTCCATTCCTGCCCGAATGTCGTCTGTGATTTTAACCAAAGCAGTGACCGTGCTATGGCCAGGACGAAAGCCTGATTGGAATGTATTTAAGAGGCTATTTTCATTAAGAAATAGATTAAGTTGCTGTTGGACAAGACGCTCAAGAATTTTAGAAAGAAAAGGTAATATGGAAATAGGACGATAATCACAGAAGGACTTGGGATTTGATTTCTTGGGTAGTGGAATAATTTGAGCATCTTTCCATAGAGTAGGAAAAGTTCCTGTATTTATAGAATTGTTGAAAATTTTAGTTATGATAGGAGTTAATAGATCTAAGAGCGGAAGAATCATGTTTCGGCTGACATTATCATTACCAATTGCATTAGAAGTTACAGCTGTGATATTCTTTTTAACGTCACAATCAGCAACCTGACATAAAACGAATTCGGGGAAATCGGGAGTTGGCAAAGAATGAAGGTGATTTAGTGTCCTAGATTTACAACTGTTAACGTAACTAGAACTTGAGGAAAAGTATTGATTAAGCATTTCAAAGTTTAAATCAGGAGGAAGGGAGTCATTTCGCTTTTTGCCAATTCCCAAACTTTTAAGAAATTTCCAAACCCTATTGGGATCAGATTCCTCAATTGTCTTGTGAATGTGACGTCGTTGCGCATCTCTACACATCGTGTTGCAGCGATTCCTAAGTATCCTGTATTTCTCACGATTTATATTGCAGGGGTCCTTTTTAAATTTGGCTTTGGCTAGGTTTCTTCTTGTCATTAAATCTTTAATCTCTTTTGTGAGCCAAGGAGCCGGCGGATATTTAAGTTTGATTGGTCGTAAAGGTGCATGCTTGTCATAAAGTTGCATTATAAAGGCATTTAAAAGACGCACTTGTTCGTCAACATCTGTTGTCTCATCAATTAACGACCAGTTTATACTGGCAGCATCATTTTTAAGACGGTCGACGTCCATTCTAGCAAAATTACGCAGCAGAAGAACACGGGACTTGACTTTTGGTGATCGTAATTTATATGACAAAAACAGCAAATCGTGGTAAGAAAAAGCATCGGCAGTATACTGCCCGTGTTTGTATATGTATTCTGGAGAGGAAACGATTTTTAAATCTAGAAGAGAAGGGGCACTATTAGGGAAGAAATGGGTAGGATTAGAAGGCAAGATGTGAAGATTACATGAGTCAACTACGGACTTCAATTTTTTTGAACGGACATCATTTTTAATAAGACACGTATTGAAGTCACCCATAATGATAACATGTTTACATGTCGGAACCAATTCTTCCAAAGTTTTTTCAAAGGCAGAAAAATAATTAACAGAGCTAGAGGGACTATAAACGACGCCTAAGATTACTTTGAAGGAAGAAAGTGTGACTTCAATGAAAAGATGTTCTGCTGCACTATCAACAATTGTGGTGGACGATATGCTGGCTATAGAGTAACGAATATCTTTACGAAGATATATGGCAACCCCACCACCAGTTTTGACGGGTCGGTCATTTCGCAATAAATGGAAACCTGGAATTGCATAAGAAATGGATGGTAAACACGGTTTTAGCCAAGTTTCAGAGACCAGAATTGCATGAATGTTTTTGTGGTTTAAGCTTGTCAGCATATCAGGATAGTGAGCGGGAATGCTCTGAGCATTTATGTGAATTACATTGAAATTATTAGCACAATCTAAGAAGCAAGAATCTAAGGAAGAATTGAGAGAGAGAGTACTGTGGAAACTGTCATCTCCGTCATCTGAAGTACCCGAGGAACAAGTCTCGAAAGAGCTAGAGCCTAAGTAAATATCATTTAGGGAAATATTCATCATAATTATTCAAATAAAATAATACTTATTAAATAACTATAAAAATAATATTAAGATAAAAAATATGAATATAAATAATATATACACCTATAAATATTTAAATATGTTAATTACTTAAATAATTTACGTATCACAATACACACTCACCCACCAGCAGTACATATGATACAAAAATAATAATCGTTTATTAACACCATAATTATCAATGAAATGCGACAATTCTACTAACAAAATGTACTACAAATACTTATGCCGACAGACTAGCAACACTAAAATATGAATAATATTTAATTAATAATAGTTAATTAAAAAACGTACAAAGAAAATTCATAACTGACAACTAAGTAGATCTAAGTTGAAACGGGACATGAACATGAAAGATATGACATGTCTATGCTAAGGTGACATACACGTATGCATCACGTATGTGTGCCATGGATTAGAAAAAAAAATGTTTATTCAGAATTAACCACAAACGAATAACAAGTGCTAGCCAGTCATAAATAAATAAATATGTAGCTATAGAGTATATTATAATATCTGATCAATGGCAACATGCGTAGTATCCTCTGATCGTAGTCTGTGACGGTAACAAATAACAATAAAATATAGGCTCAGAAGGGCTAGAACCCAGAGCCGTAAAACCAGTTATAGTAAAAAAAAAACAATAACAAATATATGAGTCATGATACATACGCATCAAAAATAAACAAATTAAAGGGTACTAAAACATTGAAATATAACAAAAATTACTACACAAATTAAAGTCGTTATTTAACGAAAATTAATAAAGGTTGCGGAAGCTGTAATTACTTACGGGCCGCAACGCGACTCCGAGTTTTAGTTGGCTTGGTTTTTTCGGCAGATTTAGCACCATCTTGGTTTTAGATTAAGTTGATTAGAGAATGGTTTAGATTCACAATTGGACACGGTAGGTAGCGTTGTTGTCGAGATACAGAAATCAACCGTGCGAAGCCGGGGCGCATCGCTAGTCCAGTATAATATGTTAATTTATATCAAAGAGAGACATGTCTATAAATTATTAATTTCTTCTGCGACTAACTCATTACCTTTTAGTATTATTACATTAAAGTTGCCACGCTTGGCAGGGAGTTTGGCAACCGTAGTTATTTATTATTTTGAGTTGTAATAAGTAAGATGCTGCTACTCATCTCCTATTTCATTTCTCGCTGTCTTTAGGGTGTTACCACACCAATCGATCGATTGTCGATCGTTGGTGTAATGGATTAGTTGACGTCGATCGATAGTTTCTTCCACACCGATCGATAGATGGCATCGATCTATGGTAGAATGGATTAGTCGACATCGATCGAGTTCCTTGATTATTCAAGAAACCGCCCCGCTCCACCGACTGCTATTTAAAATGATTTCTAGATGATATTAAGCTATCTCTAGCGTTAAAAAACGGTCGCATTTAGAATGATCTGCGTGTGTGACTCCGTAATAATAATACGAGCGTACAGGCCAACAATAACGCGTCCTCTTCTGAATGCACTTTCAAAGATACTGACCATGATCCCCTAACCACATCGATTAATTGACGATCGATGTCGATCGATGATTGAACAACGTTTCATCGACCAGTGTCCGTCGACATCGATCGACGTCGATCAATAGCCGAGTACCCACGTGTGCGGCTCCCGAGCGAAGGCTTGCGAGGCAGGCCGAGCCATCGTAAGTACTCGAGCATCCGAAATTGACAGTTGTGTAATTGCAGCTTCAGCTACTTTCCTAGTTGCATATTGTTTAAAAAAAAACGAAAGCAGTTTTTTGGATCTCACAGCATCTTGTACGTACCGTACAGTTAAATTAAACGAATCGACTCATCTGCTTGCTCATGACATTATATTATTAAAATGAGTTTTCAGTAAAACTAAAACAAAGACTATAGCCTCGCGAGCCAAAATACCACCGTACACACCAAACGAACAGCGATCATTGAGGCACCTAGACGTGGGCGTTATTTCACGTCACTAGTTACAATAACTGGCTACGCGGCATGTAACCGAATCACTAGTTTCGAGTCATATTACAAGTAGTGATTTTTGTAAATGCGTTATCACTGTTAACTGTGATTGTTGCGAGAGTCGACTGTCGGTCGGTCAAGCGCTAAGCGCACATGTGGCATACAACAATAAAGAAAACAGCGTATGTAACAGTATTATTGTACGTTTAATTTTCATACGTAAGACTATAGATATAGACAATATAAATAGAGTGATCTTTGTTTGGAAATAATTTCATCGGTTTGCAATTCCGGGAAGCGATAGTCACATTGAATTTAAGTAAAATAATTTAGTTTGTTTTAGTTCATCGTTGTACTTGTTTATAATTTCGAATACTATCTTGTAAAAATTTACATTTATATGTTATTTTTGTGTTTTATGTACATTTACTGTAACGTTTCTTTGTTATTATATTATATTATATAAAATATAATTAGTGTGGATTGTACAAGTTTAAATAAACTGTGAATATAGATAATCATTGTGTAAACAATCAAATTGACTTGTAAATACCCCTGCATTAATAATTTTATGAAAATCTTAGTTTCATAGTAAATACAAAACAATTATAAATACATTTAATGCAGTCAGTTTTAAGCCTGAATAAAGTATGAAGGGAAGTTAATTTAGTGATTTAACTATATAGCTAGAAACACTTAAATAGTGATTAAATTTATTTTCGTTTCGTGTGTAACTGTATAGTTCTTGGTGGTATTTATGCAAACAATCACAGTAGCCAAATAAAAATAGCCAGTTACAAAAATCACTAGTTTCGAAACAGGTGACGCCGACCAAGTCACTGGTTTCGTTACGTTTCTTGAAAATGACGTAACGACCCACGTCTAGCAGGCACCTTTGAGCGCGTCAAGTTTACCGACAACATATGGCTCGCGGTCGAGCGGCGCTCGGCCTTAGCGACGTGCGCCCGAGGCAGCCCGAGGCACGTCCACATAAGCCGAGGCATTGGCTCGAGCGGCTTTGTGGATACGCGGCTATTGGCATCGATCGACGATCGATCGATTGGTGTGACAACACCCTTACGACACCCACAGGATTGTACGAGATGGTGGATTCAATTACGTCGACACTACACCGTATCAGATAACGGTATCCTTTATATATATAACAACGAAATTCTTCTTTTTTTTTCAGATAAAATTCCACCATAAAAACGAAGACCTGGAGAAGTTTTACGAAACGGTCGTGCCAAGATCAGCGCTGCCACCTGACCACGGCGGTACACTGCCCGACATGCAGACCCTCCACAAGAAATGCATACAACAGTTACGAGCCCTGGAGCCATACTTCAGAGCTGAAGAAGAACAGAGAATCAATGCGCTGCCTGACAAAAAGCGAGATAAGGCAATGGAAAAGGCCTTCAAGAACTTAGATATAGATTAAATAGTTATTTTAGGGAGCATGAACTAAAGGTTCGTACGCTAAATACACTCCTCTTGAGTTCTTCAAATCTTGAATGTCAGATAATTCTAGCAAGATCCCATGTTCCGATCATCCCTTTTTTCATCTTTAAAAATCGTTATATTTACACTAGGCATTTCACCTGTATCGAGGAGGTGCACGTTGATAAACAGACAGATCTGGAACGATTATTTGTTGACCATACAATTCATCATCATCATCATCTGAACGAAGGTCTATCTCAAGGTAAGCCATCTGCGTCCATCGACTTCCTACAATTCGCTTAATGGCACGAGGCAGCCACTCAAGAACCTTTCTTGATCTTATGGTCGGTCCATTGCCACTTCGGCTTACTTATCCGTTGGGCTATGTCGGTTACTCTGGTTCTACTGCGGATATCCTCATTTTGAAGTCTATCACGCAGAAAAACTCCAAGCATATACTCCTTTCCATAGCTCACTAAGCTACTTTGAGTTTGCTCTTATGGCCAGCAGTGAAGGACCATGGTACAGATCCATACGTCATCACTGGCAACACTTACTGTTTAAACACTATTGTTCTCTAGTTTTGAGATATATGCGACGAGAAGATACGTCGTAATCTTCTCAATACTTGGATAAAACAAATTTTACGTTATTACGTATTTTAAATTTGCGTTTTAGTTTAAGCTTTTTTGTTTTTAAATTAAATCGACGTATAAACTTATAATTTATACTTATTACTATAAAATTAATTTAAAATGAAACGCATAAAATGTTTATTCAGTGTGTATAGTATTCGTTTAAATATAGGACATCACACATTTATTTGTTGTTTGCGGGATTCGAATCTGCAGCCCCAGTAACTACGCAGCCAAATTCTTAGCTAATGCATTACCGAGCCGTAAAGTTCTAAGAATGGCCATCCGTTCCAGGATTTAGGCTTTTATAAAAATTAAATCCTGTGATGTTGAAGAAAATGCTGAAATAATATATAATATGAAATAATATATTAAATATATAAAACGCTATAATAATGTCTTCCAGATTAAATTTTGGTCACGGCGGCCAGTCTGAACGAAGACTAGCCATCTGAGCTGGATAGAATTATAGTGCACGAGTGTATGTGTAAGCACATGTGCACTCTCTATTCTCCCTCACTCTCATATTCCCATGGGACGGTAATTCGACACGACAAAAGATATCGGGCGTAGGAAAAACGGATTTACGTGCTGTCGCTATATTAAGTAATTAAATAAGGGAAGTACTTATAAAAACTAAACATTATTTACCAATATTCTAATATTTATGAAGAATCTCTTCTCGCAATTGATTTTTGCAAACAATGAACGGTAGTTTCTTCCTCTGTTGTTTGTTACCGTCACCGTTACAGTTCATTAAAGTAAACTGCTGAACGTGGGCGGGAGACCATACCACCATCTGCCATAGTGGCCACGCTTGGTAAACGGGTTGGCAACCGCAGTTTATTTTTATTTTTGGTCGTTATTAGGAAGACGCTGCTGTCCATTTCCTGGGTTTCCCTCTGTCGCCTCTGACACCCATGGGATGATATGGGGTAGTGGATATTCTTACACCGCCACTATATTATGTTACACACGGTAGGTACTTTGTCGGTTGTAGTAGGTGAAAACTAAAAACATTCCACCATTTTTGTACATTTGGAATTAGACTGCAAATAGCTTTTCTATAATATGTATTTTGATGGGTGAGAAACGAGCATACAGTCCAATGGTAGGTGGATACTTTAGCCCATAGACATCATCTATCCTCAATTAAGTATTAAAAGTGACGATTCATAGCAATCGGTTCAGCTACTCCGAAAATTAGCTCGGACATAAACACAGACAGACGGACAAACATTTTAAAAATGTTTATTCATGTTGTATGGCGTGCAAATAATCCCTGTATTCAATAAAAGGTATTTATTTCGATGTTACCGACAGTCACTTCTATTGTATTTATATGTATTGATAAAAAATGACAAAAATTATTGCTCAAGTGTTTTCCAATAATAATATTAGTAATAATTTGTTAATGACAAATTGACAAAAGAAAGAAAAAAAGCTTAGTAAAACAAGATTGTATCGTTTGTATTTGATATGCTTAGAGTTTAGACCAACAATAATTATAAGTTTTAACAAAAAGTAAAAACCGACTTCAAGTTGCTAAAATAATGTATTTGATACCCTTAGGGTCGGAATTTTTCTCCCAATTTATATGGGACAATTTATATAATCATCAAAGTTGGTTCACAATTTGCGAAGATATCGCGTAACATATATACAAAAAGAAAACATTACAAACAAAACTGCATTTGAATTGAGAACCTCCTCCTTTTTGAAGTCGGTTGAAACCTCCTCCTTTTTGAAGTCGGTTGAAAAAGAACGGAGCGCTACACGTATATTTACCTAGCGACGCCGAAACCAAATCAAAACCATGCTCAACTAATAGTAAGAATATGCTCTCACGCATACATATGCATCTATAACCATATGCAACCAGCAACATGATGTTAAGTACATATATGTGCATCCAATGAGGGTATCTACGAGTTTTTCTGTCACCAGGGCGGCGCCACTAGAAAGTAAGGTATAATATTTGACAGATTTCATAGCGGGGAAGTTAATTTGTTCGGAAAATGTAAAAGTTATTGTTTCTTTCTGTACGATTAACTATATTTTATATTAATAAGATTAAAAATAAATAAACCAAACCACAGATATTAATAAAAGTAGAAAAATTAAGAAAAAAGTTAAAATTGTGCAAAAAATTATAGAGCAAACCACTGACGCATTGTTTTGTGTATTAATATTACTCTAGAAACTGATAAACTTTTATTAAAAACCAATTTCTCAATTAAATTATGTTGTGTAACAAAAAATGTTTACCTCAGTGTCAACTAGCGACATCTGGTGAGTAGAAAATCAGTAGCCCTCTTGTGTACTTATACGAGTTTTTAAATGATACTAATGAACTAATTGTAAGAACATTCTCTCACACCACGCCTTTTATATGATAGAGGTCACGCGCTGCAGGTAGGTATATTATAGTTGTAGCACGTATAGGTCGGCTCTACCGGGGTCGGACCACGATGTCACAGAATACCAGCGTAAAATAGCAGCTTAAAACTGCTGTGTTTCGTATGGTGAGTGTAGAGAACCGGAGACCATTTTTTAGTAAAAACGAGGTATTCCATCTTAATCCTCAAGAGAGACAACGCATCAGCATTTTTATTCTTAATCTAGGATAACCACAGATGTGTAGACTGTGTGCTTGTTTGTCACCCTTATTATATAAAAAAAAACACATATGCATCTATAATCATATGCAACCAACAACATGGTTTTGTACGTGTATGTTTTGTATATGTAATATGTGTGCATCCAACTGTGAGTTTTTACGAGTTTTTAAAGAAAGAAAAAGAAAGATCTGTGTGTGATTGCATTTCAAGAAGTTAAGCATGCTTTCGGCGTATAATTTTCTTTGTCATTTCAATGTCATTGTGAGGTTTATATTATCCTATCAGATAAAAGGTGAAAAAATCTGTTTCTTGTAAAAAGACGAAACTGTTACTTACAAATGAATGTAAAAGGTATTTTTGTGGAACGAAGTACTAAGTTAAGCTAGCCTTAATTCATCTTAGTGTAAAATAAATGCACTTTCATTCCTATTTGATTACAACTACTGAATAATTTGGCCAAAAGTCTGTGGTGAAAAGTAAATAACGCTTATTTTCAAATCCTATGGCACTTTACTAAAACTTTAAAAGCATTCATGCATAAATACTGACGGACATTGATCACTTTAATTTATACTAATTATACAATAGGTATACATTACTAAAATGACTTGAACACTCCAGCGCCCGCAAATTATACGCCGCGCCGGTTCTTTTCTGCCGACTTCCAAAAAGGAGACGGTACTCAATTCGACGCGTATGTTTTTTTTTATGTGTGTTACCTCATAACTTTTTACTGGATGAACCGATGTGGATGATTCTTTTTTTATATGAAAGTTGATACTTCTCGTGTGGTCCCATATGAATTTGATCAAGGTCAGATCAATAGTTTTTGACTTATTTGAGTTATTTTTAATAACTTATATTGAAATCGGCTGTACAACATTTTTATTAATTTTAAATTATCCTTATTACCACCTTTTTACTAACTCGCTTTCATGATATTGAATCGATGAATTTAGTATTTCATTTTAAACTAACTTCCCGATGAGCAAGAGACTTGAAATTTTGAACATATCTCAGAATTGGAACACAATGTAAGCAGATGAAAAATAGTATAATTTTTTTAATACGTAATTTAAATTTCACTTGTTTCGTACAAACTCTATCATGAAAGTGATGATGTATTTCATTTTTTTAGTAATTTTAATTACAATAACTATCCAAATTTGACAAACTACAAATTATCACAAATGTGTACAAAATCCTTTATAATTTAGTTTAATAACAGTAGACATGTGTTACTTATTAAATATTATTAATTATTAATGAATCTCAATTGTATACTTTTTGTTTATCTAGTTTTAGAATTAAACTTAACTGTAAATTGTGATTTTTTTATGTTTTGTTGTTATTTGTGTTTTATATTCTTACGGTAATGAGACAGCCGTATTTTTATTATATTTTTGTTGGTGAAGGTTGTGTGCATGGTATTAGATTTTGTCGTCTAATTCTTTAAATTTTAAAAAGCATTTTATTGAATCTATTTTATGTTGAATTGTTGTGATATTTAATGAATTGTGACAGTGGTTTAGGAAACCAAATTTAGAAAATTAGTTGCAATATAGTTTTATTTGCACTGATAATGTATTTCACTTACCTCTACTCTCTCTTTTTTACAGTATTATAATTGAAGACAATAGACAGCATGCTATGCTTTGTTTCATTTTCAAAATAAAGGACGCTTTTTCAGTATATATAAAAGTACTCTGTGGGACGCTTAGAGCATATTAGCACTTGTAAAG